GACATTACTAGAGATCAAATGTATTTTTCCTTTCCCTACAACCATGGCACCCTTGCCATTAGCAACTGACACTTGGGATGGACGTGAAAGTTTTTTAAAATCATACAGATTTGTGGACTTGTTGGTCATATGATCAGTGGCTCCTGAATCTATAATCCAATAATCATGCATATTACCTATTTTAAGAGCAGTTGAGAAGGATCGTAAGATACCTGGAATATCTTGTTGTGTCACGCCTTCTTTCCTAGCCAAAAAACCAGCAAACTGCCCAAGTAGAGCAGCTGGTTTGTTGTCAACATGACTGGTTGATCCTTCATTCTCCCCACCACCTTGTTTCTTGTGAAGGAAGGCAGCAAATTCATTTATCAGCATGGCCGGATTAGAGGTGAACATCTGTGCTTCCTTGGAATGAGAGGTCATGGTATGATTTGCCTTGGGTGATGAGTTGTGTGCTCCTCTAATGAAGCTCTTGTTGCTGTCCCTCGAATGCTTGGGCCTTAGTTCAGGATGGAGAATCCAGCAATGATCTCGTGTATGTCCACCATTATCACAATAGCTACACTTCACAGTGGGTTTCTTTCCTTTATATCTCCTCTCTTCACTAGCCTTATGATTTGAGAAATATACCCTAGATTCTGGTATATTTGACTTTAATTCCACATTCATGATTTTTCTGCGAGTTTCTTCCCTTTGGATAGTGGCACACACACTTGAGAATGAAGGAAGTTCAGGATTCATGAGAACATGACTCCTGAGATCTTCGTATTCAGAGCTCAAACTTGCTAGAAGCTGAAAGATTTTATCTTCCTTAGCTCTCTTGATCAACACGGCAGCGTCAATGGTGTGTGGCCAATAAACATTCAACTCATTCCACATGGTGGTCAACTTGCCAAGATGATGCACAAACGAGTTCCCTTCCTGTTGTAGACTAGCAATATCCTTCTTTAGCTGGAACACTCGAGCTGCGTTATTCTGATTTCCATACATCTCTTTGAGATTTTTCCAGAGAACGTATGAAGATTCCACATAACTGAAGATTTCTGCAATCTTTCGATCCATAGAGTTGAGCAGCCATGACATGACCAGCTGGTCCTTGCACAGCCAATCATTGTAATCGGATGAGGACACATCAGGTGCTGGAATCACGCCATTAACATAACCAAGCTTCGATCGTCCTCCTAACGCAAGGGAGACAACTCTCTCCCACGGGAGATAGTTGAACTCATTTAGTAGGACCGAACTGAGACGTTGATTTGGATTGATATCAACATCTAGATGAGATGAAGAAGACGCAGCATGCGAGTTTACTTCTTCGTCATGCACGGAGCTCTCTTCAGCCATGATGGAGAAGAAAGGGAAACAGGAAGACGGTACTCAGAAGCAGGTCGATAGAGATCACTGCTCTGATACCATATTGAATTTTGAATGTCTATATTTTGTATGTGTGAAACAAAGTACAAGGAAAGAAAGCTTATATAAATGAGCGGAAGAAAGGAAAAGAAACGTAAGCCGAAAAACAAGGAAAAGGAAAGCAGCAAAACAAGGAAAAGCAAAAAGCAACAAAACAAAGGAAAAGAAAGCAGCAGCAAACATGGAAAAGCAAATCAGAAAACATGGAAAAGCAAATCCTTGATTTATGGCACTTCTTCCAATAAAACCCTACCCATTTTCTCACCCTCACCGTCTCTCTCTCTTCGTCTCCAGTTTTCTCTCTTTCCTTTCATCTCTCTCCTCGGCTTCAACCGCCATGACTAAAGTTGTTATTGGTCTAGTACTTTCATTGTAGCCTCATTATAGGCTTCCTTTGCCCTTGTGTCATTTTTTCCCTGAAATTCATTTCATGTTCTAATACTTCGATACAATTAAATCTCAACTATGGGGTGGGTCTGGGATTTTGCCCTTGTATCATTTCAATAGGGATTTTAGGTTGGCGAGGTTGAAAATAGAGGCGAAAGGGGGAGAGGGGTGGGATGATAAGGGGGAAGAGGGTTAGTTGTCCTTCACGGGCTACTCTTTCTTCCCTACTTTGTTCTCTTGACTCGCAACCATGACTACCAATTAACGGATTTTGCTGCTAAAGGAAGTCGAGGGAAGGATTGGGTGCAAAGAGTACACTGAAGAGGTGGTGATGTGATATAAGGTTATTTTAGGAATAATATTGGGTGGGGAAATGGGATTTTAGTTTTTAAAATTTTTATAGTGGGTGAAATTATAATATGGATGGGAAAATAGGACAATGGGGTGGGTCTATCTTCCAATTTACTAATAAAATAATGTATTATAATTTAGAACAATGACGTTTTAGTAATCATATTGATGTCCATTGAAGTGATTTAGTAAACAACTTATATAACATTGGTATCATTCTTACTCCAATACCAAAATATTTGAGTAATAGCTTCAATGGAAATTTGAATTTGGACTATCCTCAATCCAATTCTGATTACAATTCTTAAACAAGCCAACAAAGGTAGGGAGGAAACTAGAAATCGAACACAAGATCTGGTGTGCATGAATTGCTCTTCGCAACTTAAGTTACAAACCCCTTTGCTTCATAATTTAATCGAGCTAACCAAAACTAATCTCGCAATACGATCCGAGAGGTATGAATTTCGAGTAACCAGTCATTGAAGTCCAAGGACAATATCACATTTTCCCAATGTCATTGCATTGCATACAACTCCTTTTGAGTGATGGTGATCCCCATAGGGCAAACAAGATGATCTTGGGTTGGGCGGGTCCAAATATACACATCACTTTAACGCCTTTGCTCCACAATAATGAGCTTAGCCCAACTCCAACGCGCTGAAGTTTCAATTGTCCAACCATAAAACAATAATTTTGAATTGTCCAAAATTTCAACAGCCTAGAGAAAGAAAGAAGCTCGGTTCGGAACTGGGTTTTGTTGGAAACACTTCATATCATAAGTGTTTTCTGTAGAAGTGCTTTTACTATAAGCATGTAAATAGAGCCGGTCCTGAGTTTTTTGGTGACTGGGGCAAACCCTCAAACTATGCCTTTTTTTAATACAAGAACATATATTAAAATAAATATTTAAAGAGGGTTGGAATCTAATCGAAGTTTGAAGATTAGACCCTCACGCTCATATTATATTACTTTGAAGACAACCAAAAGGGGTGAAAAGACAATCAAAAGCAAAATCATATTCAACCACTCCAAAACAAAACTCTCTTGAAATTTCAACCTTTAAGAAATCATCTTCTTCATTTATTGAAGTAAATTCATCAATTATATTATCATAATTCAAGTCTCCAAATGCATAAAATTGCTAATTTATTTAGCCTACCTTGAATCATAATGATCGCAAGTAAGATTTCAAATACTAACCTATCATTCCAATATTTATTAAAAAAATCATTAACATATCAATTATCATTGCACATATCATTCCAACTATATAATAGAAAATTACTAATATATATTATGAAAAGTACCTAATATTATCGACCCAAGCTAGCAAACCATGCCAATCTGAAATTCGTAGAAGAGGAGTTTTGCAATTTGCAGTCGCCAATCGGGTTTTGCAGACGTCTCAAAATGCAGTCTCACATTTGGTAGCAAATCGAGCCAGAAATCCATTATCAAACTGCAATAAAAAATAAATCCATTAAAAAGAAAGAGGTCAAATCGGAGGAAAGGCCAGACCGCAATCATTGCAACAAACATACATTGTAAAAATTAGTCTCTACTAATTAATAAAATCTTCTTGATCAACCAAATAATGATGAAAAGACAAATTAGTCTTCTATAACATAAAAAAAATAATGGGTAATAATGTAATTTCACAGGTCTAAATTTTATAGTTTTTTATTGAAACCTCATCTACATGTGATGTTAAAATACCTCCAATATTAAAAATTAAAAAAAAAAAAAAAAAAGGAATTGTTATTAGCATTCCAAAAATCTCATTCTACACTCCAAACTTTCTATATTAGGAAAGAAAAATACACTTGTGAGGAGTGTAGAATGAGATTTTTTTAGTGTCAATAACAATTCCCAAAAAAAAAAAAACCAAAAACAAAAATCTCCTACTCCCCCAAGGTTCTCTCTCTCCCTCTCTCCTTCTCATTTCCTAAAAAAATATGTTTATACACACAAAGTGTGTAGGCAAATGCTAGTAAATTACTAAGAAAAGAGTCGGAAAACCTTAATATATAATATCGAATAATACCTCTCGTCCAAAAAAAATATAATATAGAATAATACCTAATAAAACTCTATGATCTGTGACGTGTCATGACGCGATTTCCGAGTTGCGAAGAAGGAATATGAAGATAAGAGTCAGACTCAGAAGACGCGACTTCTGGGTCTGCAAATTTTTATTTATAGCAAATTTTGGTGCCCCATAAAATTCTGAGCCCTGACAGTTGCACTGTCTGCACTAGGCCAGGGCCGAGCCTACATGTAAATATTTTTGTTAAAAATTTGAAAGCACTCGAAAGGACTTTATGAAGGTGTGCTTCTTTAGAAAGTACTTTTACAACTCACAGAAACTTCTAAATTTAAAAACACTTCTAGTTATTATGAGATGTATTATAGAAGCATTCATGGAATGCCCTTAGCAGAGCACCACTGTTCCTCCTAATTCAAACCATATTCTGTGAATTATAAATGAAAACTCAAACCATTATTTCTTTTTAAAAAAATTCAAAAACATAAAAATGGCGATCAAATTTTTGCATTTACACAACTCGATTTTAAATTACCATAATTCTCCTTACATTATTTAATTTTCAAAAACAATAAGCGTGAACTGTTTGAAAATAAAATAAAAACGCGTGTGAAAATTACTTATCATCTTAAAGAAAAACAAATTATTTCCCACTCAAAAAAACAAAAATAAAAACCCACTAATAAAAAGCCAAACTTTCTTCCAATAGTTTAGGGTTCAGAAGAAAACCAACACCAAGATTCGGACTTTAAACCGCCTGCAAGCACAGAATCCACCTCCCCAATCAACCACCGCCACCACCGCCACCATGTCCCAAAAATCCAAATCCAAATCACGACGCAAAACCCCAAAACAAGAACAAACCCCAACACCCCCATTCCAAAACCCGACCCCACCAGAGTTCCAATTCGCCATCGCCAGGATCGCGGTTTCTCAGATCACCCAATCAGTGGGATTCAAATCCACGAAGCCCTCCGCCCTCGAAACCCTAACCCACATCGCCGTCAAGTACATCGGCGCCGTAGCCTCCGCCTCGGCCTCCTACGCCGCCATGACCAACCGCACCAAAACGAATGTCTTCGACTTCGCCAATGCCCTCCACGACTTGCAGTCAGTGCAGGGATTCATGGGTGCCTCCGCCCTCCACGAAAGTGGATTCTGCGTACTGGGTTCGAGTGTTTTGAGCGATCTCGCCGGCTTCGTGAGGCGGAATCAGGAAACCCCGTTCGCCAGACCGATTCCGCGGGGAGAGGAATTGGGTGCGGAGGAAGGTGGGACTGTGATTCCCATTCCGCGGGAATTGGATTCCCGGAGGGGTTTGCATGTGCCGAGATGGCTGCCGGCGTTGCCTGAGGTGAAGAAGGCGGTTGGGAAGAGGAGGAATGGGGAGGAGCTGTGGGAGAACGTGGCGGCCGGAAATGTTGGCGATGGCGGTGAAAGTGGGAGCGGGAATGGTAAAGCGATATGCTGGGAATCGGGGGTAAAGAGTAAGAGGGGGAGAGTGAGGTTTAGGATAGGAGGAGGGAACGGATGTGGATTTGAGGAGTGAGATGTGTACACAAAGGTAAATGAACTGGCTATTGGTCTTGGTGGGACTCTCTTCGAGTTTATAGAAGAAATCTTGAGTTCAAATCTCGTAATTTTAACGGGATTATTTTTTAGAATTACAGAAATTCAAATTCAAATCCCTTTTCTCGAAAAATGATTTGGAGTTGAACCTTGATAACTAGATCAAATACGTTACTCTAGCCGCTTGCAAAAAGTGTTGGTGGCCCAATGCTGCTTTCAATCATGTCAGTCCAAATAGTGATACATATTTAGACCTTTAAGAGCAGCTCCACCAGAGCTTTTTTTGCCCAGCACCCTGTCCAATTAACAGCCCGGCCTGCTGTCCAAAAGCTCTAGCCCGTGAAACAGCCTGGCACCCAGCCCATGCCAGGCAGCAGGCCAGCCCATTTCGGACAGATCCAGAAGTCGGTCTAAAACGCTGGCGCATGCACAACACTCGCGACTGGGCTCGAGTAGGAGACAGCGCTGCAGGCGGCGGGTCCCGCGTTTTAGCGCAAGTGGGCTTCGAACAGCTGAGGGCTACGTGGCAGCTGATTGGCTGTTGGATTTGATTATTTTTCAAATCCAACGGTCCAGATTAATTACAACATTAAAATTTATTAAAAATTAATTAAAAATTGTGAAATTTTTTTAAAAAATACAGAAAAATTTTAAAAAATTAATTTTTTTTTTCTATAAATACCTAACCCTCATCTTCCACCTTACACCACATTTCAATATTTTCTACACTTTCTACATTTGAATATTTTGTACACTTTGAGAGAAAAAAATGACTTCGTGGAAGCTCATTGAAGATGTTACGTTGTGTGAATGTTGGGTTCGCACTACTCATGACCCGATTGGTTGAAAATCTTATCAGAAATCTATCTACAAAATAGTACGTTCGGATAATGACACGTGGCGTGACAAGATTGGTTAAAAATCTTATCGAAATCTTGCCTAAATTATTGTAAACAGGAAGTGACACGTGGGTTGTCGGGATTGGTTGAAAATCTTAGCGGAAATCTATTCAAAAAATAGTACGTTCGGATAATGACACGTGGCGTGACGAGATTGATTAAAAATCCTATCCGAAATTAAAACTATTTTTTTTTATTATTTTATAAAAAAATTTATTTAATATTTTAAATGGACTGGGCGTCAGCGCATTTTGTAGGGGTGGAGATCGTTTGTGCCAGCGCATTTTTAGACTGGGTGCCAACACATTTTTTTTGGGGTGGAGATGCTTTGGCCTATTACTGTTCATTAGGGTCTATTACTGTTCACTGAAGTGGATAAATGGGCTGGGTGCTGGCGCAAAGTCTTTATAGGTGGAGTTGCTCTAAATGGGACGGATTTGAATTGTATTCGTACTCATTTATAATTAGATTAACATATTTGATACTCATTCAGATCATCGGATATGACTTGTTGGTTCAAATACTATTAGCATTGAATTCTGATAATCGAATCGGACCTTTATCGGATTTAATTGAAGACTTAGAAAATATTAAAATATCATTAGTAACCTCATTCTAGGATTATATTTTTCTATTTCTAATTAAAAGCTTCATGTTGAACAATAAGCAAATAGGATATAAGTTTAACTTTATTGTATAAAAAACCACCATCACACAAAAGTATAAATAATATAAAAATCAAATAATATATTAAGTTGGGTCGGATTATTATCGGATCGATCTGGATCCATTTACAATCAAATTATCGAATTCAGATCTTGTTTGAATAATCGAATTGAAAGTCGCAACCTATATCCTATTAATTCAATCATATTCGGATTAAATTCGGGTTAAAATCCGATCTATTGACAAGTCTATAAATATGAGTTCATGCAATGTCAAAAGGGATCTGCTATTTATACTCGATAAAGGTTATCTCACACGCCTCCCTAACATATCCCCATCAAAATTAGCGCAATTCATAGCCGCTCATAGGACTTCGGCGCCTAGCATATGGGTAGCAAGAGGGTGCTTATGCCCCAAAGGTGCAAGGCATGAATTCACCGCCACATGACATCCCGTGCCAATAATGCAAGAACATTTGTTAGCTTTTTTTTCCACATGTCCTTGTGTTATTGACATAGAACGCCACCGTGGCGGTCAACTTGTGCCATAGGAATTGTTCTCTCATAACCATCGGGGTCCAAAGGTCGTAGGTTACAAGTTCCAAGCAATGAGTGAGCAATTAGAACTAGGATCAGGAAACCAAAGACTATCTATTCATCCACCGCAAAGAAAAAATCACTTCATTAAGCAACGCACTCATTTCTTATAACATAGTAACACAATATATGAGGTCCATTCGCACAAAAAATACGTCTTCCGACTCGTGCCACATCGGAAAATCACTACTTTTAACTAAGTACAGAGTTGCAACAGATATATGATCTTTCTCTTATAATGCTACAATAAAATTGCAAAAGTTCGGTGACAAGGCGAGAATATTTTCTTAAGAACGGCAACGGACTCATTTACCGCAGTTGAAACCGTGGCAAACAGACATGATTATGATAAGGATTAAGGCAATCAGGATTCCCAAAACAATCAGCTTCACCTTCATGTTCTGCAGCCACATCTTCCTCCGCATTTTAGTCCCCACAGTCCGAAAGTCCTGTGCCTGTAAGCAGGGAACACAGAATAACGATTCTTTCAACGTAAACAAATTTTTGAAAAGATGAATCAATTTAGAATGAGACACCACACATTGTACTTATGCGGGTGGCATGCTATCCAACAGGGAAACACTTTTACAAATAACTATTCAGTTTATTAACCAAGGGCATGCAATTGTGAGAGAGAACGAGATATGACCTGTTGATGAAGGTTCTCAGTCTTATCGACTAAAAGCTCTATCTTTTCCCCCCTATCCAAAACCTGCATCAAAATGCAAAACAAACATATGAGAAGAAAGATTATCCTACAGTGTGTAGAGATCCAAGGTATGAAAAAGACACCGCGAGCAAACAAGTCGAAAGTCCATCAAATGGCCTTTGTTCTACGTCTCTATAAGAATGGATGTATATATTATACACCCAAAATCAACAATGAATCAATGATCGAACATAGCCCATGTAAAATACAACACCTCAACAGAAACATTGCTATTGGATACCACCGACATTATTATTATGAATTTATTCATATACACGAAGAATACGGAAAAGTTGTGACCAGGAAAAAGAGGAGCTTAACATTGAAACAAAGTTCGAACGAACCACTATCCTCAAGACTCATGCCACATCCCCTTCCCAAGTCCCAACTATCATTACTTGTTCCACATTGCCTGATCTGTTAGTAGCTTAGGTTCTAACAACACACACAAGATTGCACGTGCTCAATTATGGACATGTGTCCGGATCTGTGTACAACTAAATGTTCAACAATTACTGAAGAGAATTTTTTCCTAAAGTCAGGGCGAAAACCCTCAATTCTATCTATTTCCCACATTCGAAATAAATAAAATGGCCACAAGACATAAACAGTTAAGAAATAAATGGATGCGCGAAGCTCAGGCAGTTACTAATTAGAATCAATAATATTGTATCCCATCCATATCAAACAATCGTATACAAGCCAAGTGAGCGATACAGATAAACCAATGCTGTCTACCTTTTCGATATTCTCCATCATAACACCTTTAACTTCTGAAACCTGTGCCTTCACCTTTGCGAGCTTACTTATTTCTTCAGGATGATCAACACAGTATTGCATATGCTCCTTCAATTTTGACCTGCAATTAACGGGAGAACAAAATTAGCAATTTTAACGTAGATAAAATTCCATCAGCCTGCATTTTACATGATCTGGTCGGGTATAATACCCAAATTCCTTGTTCAGGCTGTTCGCAGCAGCCTGTAGCAGCCTTTCCACTGCCATATTTTGCAACAAAGTCATCCTTGACACGCTCCAGAAATGCAATAGGTACTTGTCTTCCACTTGATTCATCCGCAACCACACAGTATGCTGCAACAAGAGGAAACTTCTGTTGGTATAAACAATTAAATAACGTAACCGTAACTTTCGAATCGACACTAAAAAGAAGTTAAAAACACTCATCTCTAAGATTTTAAATACATAGGATTTCAAATATCCTAACAATTTCAGCATCCACGAAATCAAGGCATTGGAAATATTTTCGAAATGCAATAAGATGCAACTACAATAACTACAGCGGAATCACATTTGATAATTGGATAAAATTGGAAGCAGATTTGCATTCACTAATTCACACTTCAAAATATTAGCCTAAGATCCAAGATCTTGAACTCCAATGCACAGAAACCGAAATTCAGCGCCGAAAAGTAAAAATTTACAAAGCAAAACCAAAGCATCGAGATCAAGCGCAGATCTAGCAACAATTAGGTACATCAAACAGAGCACAAGCAAGCGAAACGAACAAATCAAACAATCAACGCAGCATAAAGGAGATTTTCCAGCATTTTCTCGGGAAACAAACGGAAAATAAAAGGAGAGGGAAAGGAGATTACTGAAGCCATTGTCGACGAGGTAATTGAAGGTGTGGCCATCGCAGTTGTAGGTGAACTTGTTGTTGGTAGCAGGAAGCTTCTGGAGGCACTGGAAGGCAATGGAGTTGAAATTGCCGCTGAATTCCGTGTACTCCGCGAGAACCACAGTCCCTCGCGCCACGAACGCGTAGATCAGCGCCTTCTGCCCCATTTTTTCTCTGGAACCTTCCGCTCTCTCTGCTTACTGCTGTGCGTTTCGGTTTCAGAGAGACGCACAGCGATTTTGTAATTTTTTTTTTTTTTTTTTGGTTTCGAATTTAGTGGTTGGATTTTTTGGGTTTTTGATGTGAGAAGCGCACCTTTTGTTTCTCGCTCTATATGATCTCTCGATTCTCTCCTCCCACACTGGTTTTTGTTTTAGAGAGAGAAAGAGATAGAGAGAGAAGGGAAGGTTAGGGGGTTTTAATGAGGTTTTAAAAAGTAGAGATAGAAGTGTGGAAGAAGAAATGTGGGGGTTTAAATTTTTAAAATGTGGAGTACTAATTTTAAAGGAAAACTAGAGTGAGAGGGATTTTCTGGGGAAAGGTTGCTGTGAGGTAGGGATCATGAGAGGTTCATGAGGTCTTTCTTTATTTCTTTTCTTAATCAAGGTGATTATCATAATGAAAGTGAGATTATAGGAATGGATCTGTAATGATTAATGCGTATTTGTTGATATGTTTCATCATTAATGTATAAATTAAGGCCGTTGATTAAGTGAAATTATCTAAAAATTTCTAATTTTGATTCGCAATATGACAATTGTTCGTATCAAATATTAAATTAAATATGCAGATATATGTTTAACCAAATTAGCTTTAACAATATGTTCTTTATCTCAATTTAATGAATTTATTGCACATTTTTATCATTTAATGTATATTATGTGAACTGTAATCAAGTTGATCTTATTTGAGGAATTGAGGTTCACTCGAAGTCTAAAAACTCCAAAATTTATGCAGTTCAAGAAAGAGAGAAAGAGATCTAAGCTGTTCAAATTTTTTAAATTCTATGAAATGAACTAATAAAATAGGTTAATAGAAGCCGTATAATTAAAATTTAGCGGTGGATCCTTGGCTCCGAACATAAGCTCGGAAATGCATTTCATTCCCTATTTGAGTAGGAAGTTTCATTCGCCCTCGTACACGTGGCAGAGTTCAGGTGGCCATTTGAGAACCGCTCTCCAACCTGCGTTGTATGGAATAACAAATATTTCAGGTTTTTAATCCAAAAAAAGAAGCGTAAACAAATAAAAAAGATGAAGAGAGGTAAAGCATCAATTTGCCTGCCTCACACGTCACCTCACCATCACAATCACCGTCTCAGTCTCACACCCACAAGAAAGAAATGAGAGGGATATAGAGAAATATAATAATTATTTTCGTTTTTTGATTTTTTTTAATATATTTATCTCAAAAAATAGAGTACATATGCTTAAAAGAAGGAAAATAGAAAAAATTTTACATACTGTCGTACTGAATTTTTTTTTTTTTTTATAAACAAAAAATTTTACATACTGTTGTACAAATTTCAGTACGACAGTATGTAAAATGAACTCAAATCACAAAAAGAAAAACAAGTTTCAAAATAGGAGTAGAAATGTTGTTAAAAGTGAAAAAAGCATAAACGAAAAGACAGATTTCATCCAATGCCTTTCCAATTAGGAGCTTAAATAATTTTCATAAGAACATTGCTCCTACAAGCAATCAAGGATTCTTTTAGCTAATTAACCATAAATAAAGAATCTTAACATACAACTTAAGCACAGTTCACATTCATTAATCTTCGATATTTCGATAGTTTACTCAGATGCCAGAGGTCATCTAGAATCATATTTCGACTTCAATGACTGATCATAGGCGGAATCAGTTTTCGATGAATTGTGCCGTTGGTTTGAGTGCTCTATGCTCTTGACTGTCAAAACTAAACTAAGAAAAATCCATAACCCGGAAAAAGTTAAGAAAAATCCATAACCCTTCAATGGTTGCATAAAATGATGACAGAATACTTAAGGGATAAATTTGTGCAGGCTCACCTTTACTCTCGTTTACTAGTGTCCACGCTTCCAAGTTCTGACAAAACCGAGTGTGGTGCCTTGTTAAGCCATGGTGCATGACCGCCTTCCATAGTGCATTGTTCTTCCGTTCAAATGCTGCATCTTTTGGATCCTGGGCACAAATTATAACAGGTACGATTAACTATTTACAAAAAAATTAAATAAAGAATCCACATCCCCATTTATATAAAACACGAGTGTGTAACAAAGAAAAATCAAATGAAATAACCCATATAAAATTTGCTACCTCTTTCAAATCTTTCCATGCGAGAAGGTGTCTTTCTTCCATGACTGATCCATATCATCCTTGACAACTGCTACGACAAATGGTTCTAAATCGATAAACATAAACAATATATGGAGGAAGGTACAAGAAAAATGCACACAAACATCATACAAAGTTGCGAGCATGCCAAGCATGAAAGGAACAGCATAAACGTTTTGAACAGATATAAACCATATATTTTGAATCAAAGTAATCACTAATTGAGTGTTGTAAATCTCAATTGCATGTTTGTACTCTCCTAGCATATTTTCTGGGGGACAAATGTTGTCTCATGTTTCTTGAATTTCTAGGTTTACCAAAAGGTATGCATACAAGTCATTTGCTATGTTTTCTTTTGGTTAAACCTCCCCAGAAATGAAAATAAATGTACAACGCCAACTAAGGTGACAAAGTAGGAGCTGATGATCACTTGAACAAACTTACCGGTGTGAGAGGTATCAGCTTTAGAACTTTTATTTAGTTGTGAAGATTCTTCAACAAAGTTGAGGGTATGCACCAAAACCTAACAAGGTTAGACCTTATTTTTAGATGCCTATAAACAGACAAAATGTAAGTATCTTCATGGCACAGTTTCGATTTTTTATTATCGTTGATTAAAATCAGGTATCACTACAAACAAAGGCCAAACCAATCCAAGGTTAGACTCTTATTTTTAGACAAACAACTTGCAGAAATATTTGCTATACATATGCTGAATGGATTGAAGTTGGGTGTTTCTCTGTGTGAAATTGAAATTTCTTTTGTTTTTCGACAACCATATATAATGGCATAAAATGAGCAGTTGAAACCGTTCATTTTTATCTTTAAGAACGGTTACAACCGTTCATGTGATTGGTTTTATCATTTCAGAAAAAAAAAAACTGAATGAAAAAATCAAAAACGAAAAAATGATACTTGGGTTTTTCGTCCATCCGAGCCCCAAGGCCCAAGGCCCATCTTTGACATTTAATATATACACCCAAACTCTCCAAGTCTAAGGCCCAAGGTCCATGGCTTTGGCCCAATTCAATTCAATCTATAAGTGAGTGAACTCACTTATAAAGAGTTGTTGTAAAGGGTGTATGGGCGAAGTGGGACTGGCAGTCCCACATAACACAGGTTTCCAACAATACCCCACATTTTCTATTCAAGCTCTAGCAATACCCCACATTTGAATAGAAAATAACATACTAGCTAAATTAGTAACGTCTTTCCAGAGAAGTTAGATATGATACGCATCGGGATAGGTGTCTTTTGAACTTGAACCTTCTCTAGTGAGTACTTACCGGTTTTACCTAATGAAGCAGTGAATTTACTATCTTGAACTGATCATTTTTAGTAGTAAAATCGAAACAATAAGTATCACACATATCACATCTTGACACACGTCAATTCATACGGTTGTGTTCATTTTGGTCCTGAACATATCCTGGTTTCATGAGACCTTTAGAGAATTGTAGCCATACCAATTCTCAAAGATGCGACCCCACATCAATCTCATATAGGTAATGCTAATAAAGAATATCCTGTTCTATTCATCTTAATCATAAGATATTAGCATTATTAAGAATAGTTATTCACCCTTTTCGTCTTACAGGCAACACACTGTTTTCCATCATAAGAATGAGTAAAGATTGTGTGTTTCTTACTTTGAGTTTTCCTCAACTAGTTTGCCTATTGAACCTGGACCATGGGATCTCCAATTAGCTAGGTTAGGTTTCCGTCAAGTTATAACTCATTGAGTTGGCTTTAAACCCATTCCCCTCGATGTAAATGCCACTTGATCCTTGGATAGGCCTTTTGTCAAAGGATCGGCAATATTCTCCTTAGATTTAATATAATCAATGGAAATAGTTCCATTCTTGAGTAGTTGTCTAATGGTTTTATGTCGTCGCCTTATATGTCTCGACTTCCCATTATATTCAGCGTTTTTGGCTCGACATTGTGCAGCCATGCTGTCACAATGTATACATATTGCAGTCACAGGCTTGGGCCATAATGGAATATCTTCCAGAAAATGTTTAAGCCATTCAGCTTCATCAGCAGCTGTATCTAAGGCTATAAACTCTGATTCCATTGTTGAACGTGCTATACATGTTTGCTTAGATGATTTCCATGACACAGCTGCTCCACCAAGTGTAAATACATATCCACTTGTGGATTTACTGTCTGTGCTCCCTGAAATCCAATTTGCATCACTATATCCTTCTAGTACTGGGGGATATTGAGTGTAATGCAAACCATAGTTCATTGTATGCTTTAAGTATCTCAATACCCTTATTAAAGCATTCCAATGATCTCTTCCAGGATTACTTGAATACCTACTTAGTCGGCTTATTGAATAAGCAAGATCGGGTCTTGTACAATTCATAATGTACATCAAACAACCTATAACTTGGGTATACTCCAATTGCGATACGCTCTCTTCTTCGTTTTTAGTAAGTTTATGAATGAGATCAAAAGGAGTTACCGCAGGTTTACAATCATAATGTCCAAACCTTTTTAGAACCTTTTCCACATAATGTGATTGAGTTAGGACATATCCATCTGAATTCCTTAGAATTCGAACTCCAAGAATCACATCAGCTAATCCCATATCTTTCATATCAAAACTAGAATTTAGCATTTTCTTTGTGGAGTTAATCACATCTTTGTTTGTTCCCATTATAAGCATGTCATCAACATATAGACATACAATAACACAAGCATTTTTCGTTTTCTTAACATAAATGCATTTATCACTTTCATTGATTACAAATCCATTCGTAATCATATTATGATCGAATTTTTCATGCCATTGCTTAGGCGCTTGTTTGAGTCCATATAATGACTTAATCAACTTACAAACTTTCTTTTCTTGACCTTTGACAATGAAACCTTCAGGTTGATCCATATATATTTCTTCGTCTAATTCACCATTTAGAAATGCAGTCTTAACATCCATTTGATGTATCTCAAGATTGTACACAGACGCAATAGCTATTAATAACCTTATAGATGTTATTCTAGCTACTGGTGAATAAGTGTCAAAGTAGTCAAGTCCTTCTTTTTGACGATACCCTTTGGCAACTAAACGAGCCTTATACTTGTCTATGGTACCATCCGGTCTTAATTTCCTCTTGAAAATCCATTTGTGTCCTATTGGTTTATTTCCAGGAGGCAAAT